TATTGGCATGTGGAGTGAGCTTGAAGAGACGTTAAGGACCAAAAACGATGAGCTCAAGGTGAGCAAGGGGGTCATGGCTGAGTGCGTCGACCTCTAAGCTCAGGTGACGCCTTTACGGGCCAAGCTTGAGCAGAGCACAACTGTAGTTAACGGCTTAAGGGACGAGCTGGCTGCCAAAGCTGCGAAGTTGGAGCGAGTTGAAAGAGCTAGATCGGCTGCTCTGGCGGAGACGGCGGCGCTAGCGGGTACCCTCAGCGTCTTCAGATCAGAGCGGGATAGTGAAGCAGAGACCTTTGCTCTTAAAGAGGCGAGGCTCGAAGAGCGGATAGGCGGATTAGAAGGAGACGTTTAGGATTTGAACGAGCAGATAGCTATCCTTAAGGCCGAGAAAGCGCAGCAGCAGGCTCAACCGTCTACCTCTCGTGCTTCCACTTATCCCAATGTCCCACAAGACTTGTACGAGAAGTGGGTCCATGTTGAGGCTCATCTTGACATATACAGAGGTTTGACGGCGGCCGGGAAAGCTTCTGAGGTGGAGTTTGAGGATGCTCGTGTTAAGGCACGTGCAGCTCGTGCCGTTTACGGTTATGACCCCGGCACGCCCGGGATGGACGATGACAAGGAAGATTTGGACGACATTGAGCAGATGCTTGGTAAGAAGACGAGTACTTAAATGGCGAGGGTAGAGATGGTGCTGCTGGGCCGGGCGGTGAAGGTGGCGATGGCGCAAGCAGAGATGATGCAGCGTGATGATGTAGTGTGATTTTCTTGTACATAGTTTTTTGCTCTTTTCGTTTTTCTTCGTATGCTTTTTCCTTTGTAAGAGTTCCTAACTTAGTTGACGCGACCGAGGTCGAATGTCAATTAATTTGAGCGAGGTGGAACGCTGGTTGATTCGAACATGGTCGAATGTTAATGAATTTGAACGGATTCGAATGTGAATCGATTCGAGCGAGGTCGAATGTGAGTCGATTCGAGTGAGGTCGAATGGTTGACTCTTTAAGTGATTCGAACGAGGTCGAATGTAAATAAATTCGAGCGAGGTCGAATGTGAGTTGATTCGAGCGAGGTCGAATGTTTGACTCTTTAAGTGATTTGAACGAGGTCGAATGTAAATAGATTCGAACGAGGTCAAATGTTTATTCGAACAAGGTCGAATGTAAATAAATTCGAACGAGGTCGAATGTGAGTTGATTCGAGCGAGGTCGAATGTTTGACTCTTTAAGTGATTCGAACGAGGTTGAATGTAAATAAATTCGAACGAGGTTGAATGTGAGTTGATTCGAGCGAGGTCGAATGTTTGAGAGGAACTTGATGGAGATGAAAAACTCATGTGTTTGCATATTTCGCTTTGTTTATACATTCATTGGAGAAGTTTACATACGTTGAAGTTTGCATGTTTTACTGAAGTCCCAATCTATCTAGTCCCTTCATTGGTCGACCTGGAAAAGTAGTTTTGGCTTTTTTGTTGTAGTACCGCTCTGCCTGTTGTTTTTGAGCTATCATTCTTATGTAGGACATGTCTCTTTGCTCTTCGGCTTCATCGAGGTCTTGCCTTCTGCTCTTGTCGTTGCTTGGCCCGCTTTTATTTGAGTATCTCAAACTAGGCTCTCCGACCTCAACTGGTACCATTGTATCAGTCCCATAGACTAGTGAGTATGGCGTTTCCCTGTGCTCGTCTTTGGCGAGGTGCGATATGCCCATAACACTTCTGGTAGCACTTCCGGCCACAGTCCCTTGGCGTTTTCGAGTTTCTTTTTCATGATATTCAATATTGTTTTGTTGGAGGTTTCCGCCTGACCGTTGCCTGCGGGGTGATATGGCGTGGAGAGTATTCTTTTGATGTGCCATTTTTTGAAGAACTTGGCAGTCTTTTTTCTAGTGAACTGGGGACCGTTGTCACAGCTGATTTCTTTGGGGATGCCGAAGCGGCATATGATGTTTCTCCATATGAACGTGATTACTTCTTGTTCGCGTATTTGGGCGAATGCACCTGCTTCTACCCATTTGGAGAAATAGTCAGTCAAAAGTAAAAGAAATCGTACATTACCTCATCCCGCCGGGAGGGGTCCGACGATGTCCATTACCCACTTGATGAAAGGCCATGGCGAAGTGACTGAATAAAGGTATTCACCCGCTTGGTGAATTATGGGGGCGTATCTTTGGCATTGCTTGCACCTTTTGACGAAGTCGGCGGCTTCCTTCTTCATCGTGGGCCAATAGTAGCCTGCCCGTATGAGGCATCTAACGAGAGGTCGGTTGCCAGTGTGAGCTCCGCAGTGGCCCTCGTGTACTTCTTCGAGGACGCGCCGTGTTTGATTTGGCCCTAAGCACTTGATAGGGGGCCACCAAATGTTCTTTTGTACACGTCGTTATTGACCACGCTGTACCTGGCCGCCTGCATTCGAAGCTTCTTCGCTTCTTTTTTGTCGGGTGGGAGCACTCTGTCCTGCAGGTATGAGATAATACGATTGCGCCAGTCCCAAGTTAGGTTTATAGAGCGTACCTCGATTTGGTCCAGCGATGAATGGAAGAGAGTGACCACGTCCCCCTCTCCGGTTATGCTTTTGGTGGCCGCTGCAAATTTGGCGAGGCCATCCGCTTCGATGTTTAGCGCTCGAGGTATTTGATCGAGCTGACATTCGTCAAACTCGGGTAATAGTTTGCAAATCTAGGCCTGATATTTCTGTAACCGTTGCTCTTAAATTTGGAAAGACCCTGTGACCTGATTGACAACGAGTTGTGAGTCGCATCGAAGGATGATTCACCGTGCTCCGTACTTGAGTGCTAACTTTAACCCTGCAATCACGGCCTCGTTGTTAGTCATATCAAGGCATCGTATGGATTGGCGAACCATTTTGCCTGTTGGGACCTTGAGCACGAGTCCCAGTCCAGATCCTAATGCATTAGAAGCGCCATCGGTGTACAAAACCATTGGTCGTGTACTTTGGCAGAGGTAGTGGTGGTTTCCCTTTCGACTTTGGACATTATGTTCGCACTGAAGTTGTCGACGAAGTCGGCAAGAACTTGCGACTTTATCGTTGTTCGCGGCTGATAGGTTATATCATGCTCGCTCAGCTCTATGGCCCACTTGGCCAATCTGCCCAACAATTCGGGTTTGTGCAAGATACTCCTTAAAGGAAAAGTCGTGACCACCGAGATGGGGTTGCACTGGAAATAAGGTCTAAGCTTCCGTGAAGCTACGACCAGGGCCAGAGCTAACTTCTCGAGGTGGGGGTACCTCGTTTCAGCGTCGACCAAAGTTTTTCTTATGTAATAGATCGGAGATTGTGTACCTTTGTTTTCTCTTACCAGGACAGCACTCACTGCGACGTCGGACACGGCCAAGTAAACGAGGAGGCGTTCTCCGTGTTCTGCCTTAGCGAGAAATGGTGGCGAAGACATGTAGGCCTTTAGTTCTTTTAAGGCGTTGACGTACTCGAAATTTCGTTGGAGTCCGTTGTCTTTTTTGAGTACGCCAAAAAAATTGTGGCACCTATCGGAGGACCGCGGGATGAATCTTGACAGGGCAGCTATCCGACCGGTCAACTTTTGTACTTGCTTTTTGCTGGTTAGATTTTCTCGGATTCCTTCTATGGCCTTGATTTGGTCAGGATTGACCTCGATGCCTCGTTGTGATACCAAGAAGCCGAGGAATTTTCCAGATATCACGCCGAAAGCACAGTTTTCGGGATTTAAATTCATACCATACCTTCTGAGTATGTCGAAGGATTCCCTCAGGTGGTCGATATGGTCTTCTTTTCTCTTTGACTTGACCAACATGTCGTCTATATATACTTCCATGGTCTTGCCGAGTTGATCTTTGAACATTTTGGTCACCAGCCTCTGGTACGTTGCCCCCGCATTTTTTAACCCGAACGGCATCACTCTGTAGCAGTACGTCCCTTGATAGGTGATGAAGGTAGTTTTTTCCTGGTCCTCCTCCTCCATTAGGATTTGGTTGTAGTCTGAGTAGGCGTCCAAGAAACTCAGCAGTCTGTGCCCGGCTGTGGCGTCGATGAGTTGGTCGATGTGGGGTAGCGGGAACGAGTCTTTTGGGCAGGCTTTGTTCAGGTCTGTGAAGTCTACGCACAATCTCCACTTGCCGTTCTTCTTCTTCACCATGACTACATAGGCGACCCACTGAGGGCACTTCGATTCTCTGATAGAACCGTTCATTAACAATTTCTCGACCTCTTCACGAACTGCATCGTTTATCGTGGAGTTGAACTTTCGTCTGATTTGGAGTTTATGGCCGATGAAAGCTTTCTTGCTGTGGTCGTTGTCGTCTAGTTGGACGGGGTCGAGGTCCTCTACGGTTAACCCCATGGCTTCTATGATTTCAGAGTCGCTGATGGCGTCTTTCTTTTCATCGCCATCCGACCCCGACTTCGTTAATTGCTATGCTTCCTTGGCTTTTCCCTTCAGCTGTTGGGTGTACGTGCAGTCTTGGGCGATACGGTAGCATTCTCGGGTCGTGTGTTGCTCTCCCCGGATGCAGAATACTCCCCAGGGGGTGGGAAATTTAATCACTTGGTACAAACTGGAGGGGACGGCTTTCATGGCGTGTATCCATGGTCGGCCTATGATGGCATTGTACGCCGTATCCTGGTCCATGATGTGGAACGTGTCTCCAAGGTGACGCCGCCGGCCAAGACTAGCAGTGTGATTTCTCCAGATGTCCGCTCAACTACATTGTTAAAACCTGTTAGCGTGATACAACGTGGCACTATCCTGTCCTCGAGCTTCATTTGGGTGAGAACTCGAGGATGGATGATGCACGCGCCGCTTCCATCATCGACCATGATACGTCTTACATCAGTATCAAAAACACGTAAAGTAATGACAAGGGCATCATAGTGAGGAAAGACCAAACCGTGGGTATCCGACTTATCGAAGATGATACTTTCTTCGAGTTCATCATACTATTCGTGGGTGATTGACCGCTTGAGCTTGTGAGTGGTGGTGAACTTCACACTATTGATAGATGCGTCGTCGCCTCACCCGATGATCATTTGAATGGTCTGAATTGGGGAAGGTGGTCTGGGCGGCCCCTGATGTTGTTCTCGCCCTCGGACGAAGTTGGCCCTTCCTCGATCGCTCATCAACTCTTTTAGGTGCCCTTGGTGCAGCATGTTCACGACCTCCTGTCTGAGGGCGATGCAGTCCTCGGTCTTGTGACCCCATTCCTGGTGGAATTCGCAGAGGGCATTGACTTTCTGGTGCTTGGGTCGGACTTCATCTTCTGTGGCTATTTTACCTTTGGGACGAGCTTTTCCAATGCGTAGACTATTTCTGAGGGGGAAACACAAAAATTGTGAGCCGATAACAAGGGGGCATACCTCTTTCATTTCGGTAGATTCCCGTTCGCGGCCTGGATGGACCTTCATCGTGACCCTGCTAGCTCTCTTCTATTTTTGTTTCTTCGGTCTTTCCTAGATTCCATTTGGACAGAGGTCAGATGTTGAGTAGGTCCGTTGAGATCGTCCTCGTCGGCTCTCACGTGGGCACAATAAGCGTTATGTATTTCTTCCCACGTGGTGGGAGGGTACTTCATTAGTCTACTCAATAGTTTTTTGGTTGCCCTCGATCCGATCCTGTTCAGCCCGTTTTGGAAAGCTGCTACTGCCATTTCCTCTGATACGTTTGGGAGGGTCATTCTCACTCTATTGAACCGGGCGAGGAAATCCCTAAGCCCTTCGCCAGGTGAATGTCTGATGGCGAATATGTCATTCACCCTGGCTTCCGCTTTCTTGGCCCCTGCATGGGCGGTGACGAATTTGTCGGCCATTTCTTCAAATGTCTGTACGGACCGTGCGGGCAGTTGCGAGTACCATGTTAATGCTCCCCCGGTTAGGGTTTCACCAAACTTTTTCAACAATATAGATGGCACTTGCTCTTTAGCGAGGTCGTTGCCTTTCACTGCGGTGACGTAGTGGATGATGTGATCCTCAGGGTCTATCGTGCCGTCATATATTTTCAAGTATGGCGGCATTTTGAAAGTTTTTGGTATAGCATGCGGCGCGGCCTCGTCGCTATATGGTTGTTCCACAAATCGGCCGGCGTCCCGCTTTGGTAGCAGTTTTGGGGCATCTGGTATCTTATCTACCCTTTCTTGATGCTCTCTCATTTGGTCGCGGAGTGCTTTGTTCTCGTTCTCCATCTGCTCCATCTTTCTAAGGATGGCAGCGAGGGCGTCGTTACCTGCATCATTAACAGAGTGAGTGATACCTGTCGAGGGAGGTTGGGTGCGTTGCTCATTAGTTGTTATGGCGATGTCGACTCGTACACCCTCTCTGCTCACCCTCTGAGCGGGTTTGTCGAGTATACTGTTCAGCGTATTCGTTAGCCATGCCTCTAGTAACTTTTTTACAGCTGGTGGGGCTTCTTTCGTAGTGAACATAGAGGCTCCCTTCCCATGAGAAGCGGTAACGCTGCCATGGGGGAGGGGGTGAGTCACTTCGCCTAGGTGAGGCATTTGGTGTCACGTTCTCCTAGTCCTCTCCGTGAGTTTCATTGATGATGTTTAGGAGATTAGTAGTACGGCCTGCCACTGCTTTTAGTCTTTCTTCTCCATTTCCTGCCATGTTAGATTATGCAAGTAGGGGGAAAAAGTCATGTACTTTGCTATCAGTATGTTTATGTAGATCTAGAAAGACCATGATTTTGACTAGAAAGTCCCCACAGACGGTGCCAAATTGTTTGACCAAAAAGTATAGTACTCTTTGTTAAACTAATTAAATAATAACTGAGGTGAAAGGTGAATCCTAGTCAAGCATAATAATTCTTAGATCTAGCTTAGAGTTTGGGTGATACCGTTTACCTAGTGCTCAGAGACGTGTATTCAATCATTAAATGCGCACTTTAGAGAGTAAATGAAGAATGAGTAATGAGCAATAAATATGAGAAATGGCAATAAATGTAAATAGGAAGAACAATTTACCCAAATATCAAATAATGTGGAAGATTCTTCCTTCTGACAACGAAATATGGCAGTAAACAAGAATATGAGCAATGTTTTCTTGGATCATGTGAGTGAAAGGGAAGAATAATCGATAAAATCAATCACTATGGAAAGGTGAACTTTGTATTTTCTCTCAACGATCAACTTCTTACAATAGTTTTCTCTGATTCAATCTCACGTGCCCCCCCTTTTTTCATCTCCCTATCTTTCTATTTATATGGGATATTTTCTAAAAATCCTAAAAAGTACAACAAGGGGAATATCCAGGAGAAGATTCCTGTCACTAGTTCCAAGACTACACTAGCCGTTATTCCTACTCTTCGCTACTCGACCTCTACGGCTTGCTCAGCGTTTGCTCGTTGTTGGGCTTTTGTCGACCTCGGCCTATCCGCCCAAATCGGAATACAGTTTTTTCACCTTACGATCTTCCCACGCCCAACTTCCTCAACAAGATTTTGACCCATACAGTAATACAAAAGGAAAATTGAAATTTACCATTCAGCTTGTGGATTCTGTAAACTTGGGGAGAAATTATGTCCTCGCTCCTCATCCGCCCGTGGAGATAAGTTTAGATCTGGCCAAACTCTTTCAAACGGAACTTGTTCGGATAAAATTACTCCAAAAAAACCACCCGATGATTGAAGGTTGTCCCTATTTTGCGGAACCTCAATATTGTAAACATCTTCAGTCTTAACGTACATTTCCAATATTTTTATCACAAGAAGTTCCCGGTGTTCATCCGGAGTCCTCAAAAAATCTGTCAGAGTTTCATCATCTTCGATGTTCTCAGCATAACAAGCAACCCCTTGCGGAGTAACAGAATACAGATATCTTCCGGTTACTTTAATATTAACCGAACTTTTCCTCACACTCATTTTTTTACATAACAACAATATCAATCTATCGCACTCCATTGTAAGTGGCAACTTAACATAACACTATGGAGAACAACTATAGCGTACTGAGTTATTCTCCATCACAACCTCACCTCCAATATAATGCAACCCTAATTTTTCGCTCTTCGAACATTATGACAAAATGCAAAATAAGTTAAGCAAACAAATATTTCGGAAGACCTGAAGGATCCTGAATGGATTTTTACCGAAATTCTGAAACTCCTTAAATAAGCAAAAATCCAGTCCCGGGGTACAATAATTGAGGCTATAGCGCATGCATAATACACGTTATATATGTAGCGCGTCTTATGCATGCGCTTACCCTCATTATTGGTGGGTCAGTAAAGTTTACATATAGAGCATGCAGCCCATGCGTTATACCTTAACGGACAAACGTGCCGTTAAGATATAGCGTATTGAAGACATGCGTTATATATAAATAGGTCTTCAGTTGTTTTATCACCTATTTTTGTGCTTTAAGTCCAAAAAATAACATTTTGATTCCGGACTCACCAAATTACCAATATAATCCAACCAGCAGAATTTAAACATGATTTTGTCTGCGGTTGTAGGAATGGCTGGCTATACACAACTCCAGGATTATTTTATCTATCAGAACTTAAAGTCCCGAATCAAATCAAATCAAATCAAGAGAATTTACAGCAGCGTCTCGTCATTAATCCAGCCTACCTAACTGCTTCGAGCCGCAAATCGTCTAAAGCTAGAGCCCAATTTTATTGTCCAAATGGCAGAGAGTCTGTCACCGAGCCATGCAATAATAAGTACGACCTAGTAATTACTTCTATCAAAATATCAGTCATTTTAACAAGCTGAATTTGTTTCGCTCCCTACATTTTCTTTTATGTGATCTTCTTTAATTAATACGGATTGTACAAAAAATAAAATTAAACTTGTGATTTTAAAATGTCATAGCATTTGTACATTGGTTATAAAAACATCTCATTCAATGAAAAATAAAAAGTGTACGTGTGATTGTTTCGCCCGATTTAAAAGGGATTATTCTTTATTTAATATATTACAAAAGAAATACGGTCAAGAATGAGATGATTAAAGAGAGAGAACGAGAATAATTTAGACAAATAATTTTATGATTAAGTGTTTATTAGGGGTCAAGAATCTTGTAATAAAACCTCTTTTACGTGGACTAACTAGGTTATTAAACGAATCCGATATGATGAGTTTTATGTCTATTATTCATTAGGTATATAAATTTTTGTAGTATTTCTTTTCTTCAATCAATTTTTTTGGGTCATATTAGGCAAGTAAAAGATTTATGCAAGAAGTACATGAGTAGTAATACTAGTAAAAGCTTACACCAAAAGTAGTACTCCACTTATGAGCCATTGATTAGATGTGAAAGAAGACTATTTGGTACGATTACATACGTGGAATACTTCAACTTAAGTGGAGCACCCTTTAGAAATGTAAGGGACTAAGAATTTGAAATGATGATGACATTATAATGCAACTTTAATTTGGTTTCTAATAGGCTTTTTAATTATCATGTGCTAAAATTGATTTGCTTTTGTAATTGCAGCGATTATAGAATTGAAAAGGACGTTTGAAAGTAGTATTAATTGTTACAACAAAATTTCCAAAACCTTGTCATAATATTTGAATTATATAGTGAATATTACAAATCACGTAATTACTAGTAATTTATATTGTCGTAAATGATTAATTGAAGATCATATACATATTAAACTATGACCAATGCTTTTTCTTCCTTCATCAGTCGCAAATTGCTACTCCCACCTCGATCGATGTGGGCCTAATCTGGTAGACTACTTAAATCTAGCATAACTATTTTGACATTACCAGAAACAATTAATTATGAGTACCAAAGTTGCAATGTTTTTAGTTTTGGAACCTAACTAATTATTTATGCAGAATTCCCACTTTAAAATAAAGCGCTCTTTACTACTATTTCATTTCAAGGCTCAATCTCTTATTAGTATAAATAAAGGAATTTTTGTCATCTCATCACAATCTTTGGTAGTCTAAAGTTGTAATCAGTCCATATAATGAGTGAGGATTAGTTTTGTGGAAAATATTATTCTAAATATATATACACACTTTTGCGATTCAAAAGTCAGATAATCTGAAATTGGACTAATTTAAAAGTATATTCTTTTGATTTTGCTTCTGAAAAAAGATACTCCCACCGTTTCAATTTATGTGAACATGTTTGATTGGGCACGAAATTTTAAAAAAATAAAAATTTTTGGAATTTTGTGGTCCTAAACAAGTCAAAAGGGAGTCTAGAGTCTTTGTATGGTTATAAAAACTTCTCATTAAGGGTAGAATTGGAAGTTTAAATAAAATTATTTCCAAATTTAGAAAGGAATCATTCTTTTTGGAACGGACCAAAAAGGAAATAGATTCACATAAACTGAAACGGTGGGAGTACAAATCTTTTCGTTAAACAAACAAATCATCTAGTTCGATCAACTTTCATAATTAAACAAATTTATTTTGTATAATTAGAAGGGAGTATAATAAAAGAAAAGGACCAAAAAAATAAAATAATTGCTAGCTAAAAATGTTATGACTATTGACTAGTCTCCCATTATATAAGGGAAAGAGAAAAGGAAACAGTAACATCCAATCGTCTCGACTTTTCTGCAAAAAGCAAATCAATCATTCAAACAAAGATAGAAAAAGTAAAACCAGTAATAAACCAACTGTTCTTTTATCTCTTAACACATGAAAAAGTAAATACATATATTTAAAAGGTGTAAGTGATGCATGCCTGGCAGAATTTAATAACCTTACAAACAAACCCCAATTGTTAATACAAATTGTAAATCTTCCCCCTCTAATTCCACCATTGCTAGCTGCCCTCGTATGCATTTCTTACATCTCATGTTATACTTTGCTATACTATGAGATTAGCAAAAACCACAAAAATACCCAAAACAAACAACACTTAAAAGCGGGTCGCGCTTTGTTGTAACATGCTATGGTCTCAACGTCCTCGCGAGGTAGTGATGAGTTTCATGAAGACGAAGACGATAGACGAAGAGTTAAAAAAAAAAAAAAAAAAGGAGTAAAAGGCTAAATAATTAAACTTAGGTAAACTCGGACCGCTACCCTCAATTCCCCACAATGCATAGTGTCGATCTCCCAATTCTGCACCTTCCAAATAGATAGCTAGAAACTCAAGAGATCGAAATTGCATTGTTTTTTTCTTCTTGTTTTAGTTATTTACACAACTTTTTCCTTCTTCTCTTCTTCTTCCACAGCCAA